TCGGCACGCCTGAGTTCGTGCAAGCACACCTGAGTCACACCTGCAACAAACCCTAGACTATCAAGCCGTCCGACTCGCACAGCTGCCGAGCTGCCAGACACGCAAGTCGATTGGTTATTGTTGTGTTGCTGCGCCAGCCCTTGGGCACAGCATGCGTTTCGCACACTCCCCACCACCAGCACACTCGGGTATGGAGCCCGCCATGATGCCGCCATACAACAGTGCCTCGACACAATCCTGTTGTTGACGCTGCGGAGGCACTGCCCAGGCCAGTAGATGCTCGTGCGCAACTGGCCCTGCGACGTGGGGGTCTCGGTCTGCGAAGCGCTGCTCTCGGCATGCGCTTGCCGCGTAGTGGGCATCGTGGGCGGATACCATTCCGGTCTTATACAGGAACGGGACAGCTCCTTCGTCCAAGGCCTTGTGCACAGCCTGCTTCGCATGCCAAAACATCCGGCAGAACAGGTCTCACACCCATCATCATCTGTTCTTGGCCATATCCCCGACATGCCGTCGGGGCGCGTTACGTTGCCTGAGACGAGTGGTTCCGGAAGAGCACCACACCACGCCATGGGACCGGTCCCGCGCAGGTTTCGGTTGCATACCTCTCACTGTCACGTGTTCCATGCGGTGTCCAAGGCAGCCCGACAAAAATTCGAAAGCTACTAGCGAGCCAAGCTTGAGCGTTAGCAATTGTGAACCAACATGGCAATGGGTTATGTTATGTTTCCTGACCGTTAACGGTTCATTGGAATGACCACATCGATCGTGTGCTATCCCGCGGTGAACGGAGAGTTGCTGCGTGCGTGGCGGGGGACGCAATCGAACTCTCAAAACTTTTGCGGGTTTGTGTCATATCAAATGTCCTTGCGCCTTCGCACGCCCATCCGCTTGCCTTGGTTTGGAGTTTGTTGCCGAGGACCGCCGTTAACCGCATGTGAACAACGGCCCCGCGTCTTGCAGTGTTGCCGCACAGGCCTTAGGTTTCGTTGGCGGCGAAGGCCGCGTGCGGGATATTGCCAGACCGCTTGCCCTCCCTTCCTTGGTGTTTTTTGCTACAGTTGTTCATTGCAACGGTCGAGTTACTGCAACTTATGCCGCTGCTGGATGGTTGGCGAGCTATGCCGACTTATTGGTGCCCGAGTGCATTCTCAGGGTTTTGCGACGTTATTTCCCGTCGTCGCGCGCTCGCAAGCTCGGGGTAGGTTTGGCGCCGCTTGCAGCGAGCGGTGGCCTGGACAGCTGCACAACGGCGGGTGTCGGTATCCAACACCACCTTTCGACTTTTCGCGTGCCGTTTGTTTGGCATCCTCCGCTTATCCGTGCCCCCAGGCATTCGCAAACACAGATCACAGCCTGTCCCTCCTGGCCTGTTGTTTGCGTGGTAGCTGCGTAGCACGAAATGTGACGCGGGTATAGGGGGTACAAGCTTAGAGATCTCAGAGGTATAAGACCCACCGGCCACGAAGTGGGCAGGAAAACGATGGAAAACAATTCGTGAATATTCACCCGATGGGTCCGCGAAAGGAAAACAATAATCCGCGAAAGTTGTTGTGTAATACCGTATAGGACTTGTAATGTATATGGTGTACCAGTCCGTAGGCATACAGGTCGCAAATTCGTTGTCCCATGCCGCGATCCAATATACCCAAAGCCAGATCGCTCGGCGGGAGTTGGGCAGGGTCGTGCCTTTCATTCAGGGCCTCTGCGCTTCGTTTCACGGATTGGTCTTTCCGACGTACATTTACACGTAGTATCAACGTCAGAGGGTATCATTTTTGTGAAATCATGGTAGGTCAAGCGCGAAAGATCCGATAAAGTTGCGCGAAAGACGCCGCGAAAGAAGTCCCGTCGCTTGAAGGCCATGCATGGCACACGCCACGGCCCACGACTTGGACTCGACTTTTGAAGCGTAGCTACTGTTACTGCTACTGTTATTTACTACTACTACTACTACTACTACTACTACTACCACCACCACTCGTACTACTTCAAACATGTCCCGCGAAAGTGAGGGCGAAAGTCCCGCGAAAGGAAAACAACAATCCTAATATTGATCAACACTCATATATAGAAATTGTGGATATCTATCTACTCATCCATCTATCCATTTATTTATACAGATATGATAAGATATGTGTATACATCGTACGTGTCGTACTGCCTGGGGCCAACGTTTGGGTACAATCTGGCTGCCAATTCATGCCTTGGAAAGTGGATCTGGAATGGGGCTGATTTATGGGCTGCCCCGCGGCGCTTGGGCAGTCCTGTCGACCGAAGGTCATGTGTGTGGAGCTGAGTCTTGAGATCTTGAGACGATGTGTTTGTTGTCGATACTACATGCTGTTGGGACATGTTCAGAAGCTTTGTCATATTGTATATTCTCCACGCGCAGGTCATGGATGAGCTGGCGACGCAATGGCATGCGAGCAAGTCGGGCAAGTTTTCGACAGGTTGCCCATTGGCCCACCAGGCGAAAAAATCGATATTGCACACGCACAGCTATCGCAGCATGAACTGGAAGGCCAGCCGCTTTTGCTGACCCTGTCGTTGGACATGGTAGGCGCCACGGCCGCATATGATGGCAACACTTGTTCGACACTTGCGTTCTCGGCATCCTTCCTCCTCAGAGGCTCAGAGCCACAGAGCTGCTTGAAAGTCCATGGCTTGACTCCACGACTGGGAGGGTCAGGCCTGGTTCGACATGGCTTCGCAATACTTCGGAAATTTTTGCGCAAGCGAAAAGAAGAGTAGCCAGATAAGTGCCTGCACCGAACCCGCTTGTAACAGTTTCCGTGCGCCCGTCCTCGAGTCCTGCATGTGCCGCTTGGACCACTGGAATCAGCAGTGCGAATATGTGCCCCATACGGCCTGGACACAAGTTTCGGCAGGCTATTCCGACGCTGGCCCAACAGTGCAATTGAAGGCGCCGGCATCGCACTTCTTTGGATAATCATGTCATGTATGCAATGATGTACAAACATGAGATGGTCATACGGCAGTAGCCAGTTTTGGCGCGTGGGGCAACCAAACCTACTGCACGCTATATTCTTCTACGCTGCATGCCCCAAGAAGTGGTAGACAGGACATTTCCGGCAGGCCGACTAAGGTGTGCGCAAGAAAAAATGTAGTAAGCATACAACTCAGAATGATCCCGCTGGCAAAACTAGAGAGCGAGTGTCTCGAAAACAAAGAGTTGGAACTGAGGAATATCGAAGCATGCATACCATAATAATTGCAAAATTATGACACAAACACATATAGACATGTCGACAGATTGAAAGATGAGACGGCAGAGCTGGATAAAGACTGTGAGAAGGAAGGAAGTAAGCGAGGCACCCATCAAGAGACACATCAAAAGACAAAGAGAAGTAGAGGGAGAAAGGACAGAAAGAGAGATAGGGAGCGAGACGCAGAGATGGAGAGGGAGAGCTAGCTCAACACATAGAATCCACGCTTCAGCCACCTCTGTTTACGCGACAACACATATAGTTGCGGGAGTGGAAGCATAGACCAACCAATCGCAGACATAGGACATTTCAAGGTGGTTCGGGCAGGACTGCCGAGACTTTTAACGATACTTTTAACGGTGATTCGACTTGCTTGAACTGCTGTAGTTTACTCGTGCGAACGTGATTAAGGCGTAGCGAAATACCAGTATCGAGTCAGCGATACAAGCAAAAAAACAGCAAAGCAGATAAACAAAACAGGAGCCAAAACAGCCTAAGGATATGGAGACAGAGAGATAGACACCTACAGGGGAGGAGAAAGGGGAACATGGAATGGGAGAGACAGAGAGAGAGAGATGCAGCGACAGATGGACAGGGACAATCCGCCAATGAACCGCGGGTGCCCGTTCGCGCGCGGACATGCACGGAAGGGGTAGCTGGACCGCTTGCCTGCGAGAAATGGGGGTAGGTTGCTTTGCTTGCCTGCAAGGACCTTTCTGCCACAAGTCACATGACGGGGGAGAGACTTGCTACAAGTACATGATCTCCATGGGACTTTCCATGGGCACAGCGAGCACCCTTCGAGGGGGGGATGCCACAGCAGCACGTGCAGAAGTCCCCGAACCAGAGAGGGGAAACCGGGAAAGACCCAAAGGGAAGGGGAAAAGCAGGCCCCTTGCAGACTACGTCCGCTTCGCGACGGAGAAAGGCCCAGCTTTTGTTTTGCTCTAAGATGGATCGGGAAGAATATATGGTGGGACAGGAAGACTAAGAAGTACATGGACCCTATGACGGGGGAGCCTCTCAATGCGGAGGATGACGAGGACAAGCGCTACGTACAACGCCACAAAGAAAGCCGAGCGACAGCTCGGCGTGCTGACCAACTAGTCAGCCTGGTGGGGAAACACAATCCCCGAGTCGAAGAAAAACTCAGGACCTCTGTGGGCAGGTTCCCCGACGAAGTGGCTTCGCTCCTTGCCATTGCCAAGAAGGTGTTCCAGAAAGCCATAGCACAGGAGCCGCGGCATGGGGGGACTGACGATGACACCCAGACTGCCGAGCTGCAAAAGCACAGGGGGAAGAAGACCCACAAAAAAGAACAGAAGGGCAAGAAGAAAAGAAAAAAAAAGAAGGACAAGAAAGAGCAGCAGGACGACTCCAACGCCAACATGGGGGACAACAGTGGCCACGACCCAATAGCAGAAGAAGTGGACTGGGGGGACAGTTGCAGCGACGCGACGATGGAAAAGACCACAAGCCAGCTGCAGAGATGGACAGTGGAGACGGTGACAGCGATGTGAACGACGACCTGGGGGAAGCCGCAACCGAGATGCCCCCCAGTGAGGGCAACAATTGGCCGTGAAGGGAGATGGGACGGCCGTCGGGTGGACCTACATCCTGGACCCCGATGACGAGCAGCACAACAAGTCCAAGCACACAGCAGACTGAACCGTGAAGGAGCAGCATGAAGTGAGAGCGTGTGGAAAAGCTTTGGGGGAGAGCGAAACATGATGTGTTTTTGGTGTTTAGTTTGCTCTGTTGATGATGGTACCTTTTGGGTTGCCTCCTCGCAACTTTTCATTCATACCCAGCTGGGGGGATATTTCCTTCTGCATATGAATCCGGGTACCTTTCGTGCATGTTTGAAACGCCGGGGGATCCACTTGTACTTGTGCGCTGCTCGTTCATGGTGTTGCTTCTTGAACAATAGTGGACCCCTGGGGACATTTAATCCTTATGCCGGTGGACTTGCAAGTTGTACCATGCTGACCATATTGTACTCTACTTCTATGCCGCTGCTGTGGCTACTCGACACTGCCTCGTACGTTTTGCTGCAATTCACTGCAACTTCCGTCGCTAGTCGACGATGTTTTGCTGATTCTCGTCCTAGGTTCATCTGGATCTGGGCCTGCAGCTGCTCGATGAGGACCCTCTGAAACTGGACGCCCCAAAGGTCACAACTCAGAGCCTGGATGGTGTTGGCATGCATCTCTTTCCAACGCCAGTTCTTAGCAATTTGTATGGTGCAGTTGCTCAATCCAGCGCAGAAGTTTCGGTGGCAGTCCGTGGTTTTGGGCGAAAAAAGAGCATTGATACTTGATGTTGGCCCAGAAGCGGCCATTTTGATGCTGGAGACCCCAACGGAGGATGCGAACCCGGAGGTCCGCTTCTGTGCGCAGGGCACTGTGTGAGAACATCGCAGTTTTTCGGATAAGGTCGTAGAGTGCGCATGTGATCAGATGGGATTTGTCCAGCCGAAGCGGCCGGCGCAGATCCCAGTGATGCTGCAGGTCAGGACGATGGTCCCGACGACAACGACGATGCAGAGGCTGGGCCTCAAAATCCAGAAGCACTTCCGGAGCTGACCCCGCACCGCACCAGAAGTCCGTAGTGAAGCGCATGCACGATAATAACATGGGGCATCCTGACAACCTCACTTTCCTCAGGAGTGTGCGACGGGCAAAGGCAAGTCCGGCAGTGCAGCGTTACATCAAGGAGAAGTTTGAGTATGAGGCATGTAAGTCGCGACCACTGCCCAAACCAAGTAGGCCTGCTACTGTAGTTCGTGGATATCGGCCAGGTGTCAGGCGGGGGTAACCGTGTTGTTCTGGACCCCAGGCAGCTCAAACCAGTGCTTAGCATCGTTGATGGGGGCAGTGGCTATCAGGCTTTGGAGCCACTGCGGGCAAAGACCGCGGCAGAGGCCTTTCGCAAGTTTGGCTCGGGGGCGACATTTCTGTGCGCAGGAAATCTTAGTCGCCGATGCGGGCATCGAATTTAGGCAGGAATTTTGTGAGCTACCGGCCGGCCGAGGGGGGCATCATTACCGGGGCAGATTGGAAGCCGGGCACCTTGGCAACAGGGAATCACAGCGAAGCTTCTTTTTGAACGTGTTCGTGATGAGGTGTGCCCCACCAACAAGGAGGAGTGATCCATGGCATCGCGTGAAGCTGAGGCTGCGAAAATCGACTTTATCGTCGTAGCGGCTTCACTCCGGCACAGAGGCACCTGTGACAAACAAAATCCACGTGTACCAGGCTGTCTGATTTCTGATGATGTGCTTGACGCCGAGCTCGTGGAGGGCGGTGCCAATGGAGAGATGAGACGGGTTCTTGAAATTCGCCAAATCGCTATCGAAGCCTTCGTGAAGATTAATTACGTCGCAGGAGGCGTGCGCGCCAGAGCGTCATAGGCGATGAGCCGTACTTCCGAGGAGCACAAGGCCGGTGACTTAGTGTATGTGTTTCAGAAACCCCGCGAAAGGAAGAGAAAGCTGACACAGGAAAGAGGAACGATTGAAGGGCAGCGAAGTGGGAGAAGGACCGAACTTGTGGATATCCATGCGTGGGGAGTTGTGGAAGGCAGCTTAAGAACAAGTTCGCAAAGTCACGTCGTTGGAGCGGGAGGCCCAAGAGCTGCTTCAGGGGGAGTTAGAAGAGCTTAGAGAATTTAGAGAAGAGTGGTCGCGAAAGGAAAACAAGCCGCAATTCAAAGATATGACGAGTGAGCCGTTTCCCGAGATAGATGAGGAGCCCCAGCCTAGGGAGAATGAGCGGAGCAAGCGCGAGGTCAGATTCCAAGAAGAGAACCCTAGTAGGATCGTCGCGCCTAGAGTGGATCCGATCCACGTGGTGTGGACCATCAACGACTCGCAAGCAGCAAAAGCTGCAAGAGCTTCGGATTCCAGTTCGAGCTCCTCCTCGTGAAGTTCGTCGAGCAGCCCGCCGAGTGCACATAGTACCCCAAGGCGGGGGGCTAGAGTCCCGAAGGAATTCGCAGACCAGCCCTGCCACGGAGGTGGCAGTACCATCTGAGTCGGGACCAGGGCAAGTCCAGACGACCCGGAGTCAAGGGACATTGATTGTGTTTGGGAGTCGAGTGACTACTGGGAGTGGGATCCCGACACCGAGTGCCTTGTCAGGTGGCACTGGTGTTGGCGGCTTGGAGTCTTTAAGCTGAACGGGTGGGAAGGGTGTCCAGTGCCTACGTCACTGTTGGGTGAGACGAGCTACTCAGTCATTGAATTCGAGGATGTCACCCAACGCTGCGAATGCAAGCAGCTAAGCTGCGCAGGGCATGACCTCTCCGAGCCTGGCGAGGTCGAACCGAGTTCACCGTGAGCGCTCTTGCAAACCGAGACGTGCTCCAGGCCGTCTTTGTCAAGAAGCGCGGCGGCGACGAGATGAGGTCGATACCGGCCGTGGCAATTAAGGCATTGTCGGCTGAGGCCTCCAACAAGGTCCTTGCGGAGCTCCAGGCGTCAGGGAAGCTGGACCGTATGATTGCTGTGCAGGTGGCGGCGACTCGGCGGCGGAAAGCCTCCATCGGAGATCTTAGAAATGCCTTCGTCAGAGGCATCTTGCACAGAGCTGGTGGCAGGCTGTTCGCCCGGCAGCCACAAGGAGGCTTGCCTGGCCTCGAAGAAGGCCAGCTACTAGAGATGAGCCTGCAGACTCAAAGACGCCCCAGCTCACTGGCGGCGCAGTTTGAAGAAGGTCCTGCTAGAGCTTCGCCACGAGCAATCGTCCTTGCTTGATCCGAGCCGGTTCCTTCTTCGAGAAACAGGCCGAGTGCGGGGAATGGTGATTGTGGAGGTGGACGACATGTGGACCGCGGGAGACGAGCTCCACTACCAGCAGATTGGCGCGTTGAGGAAAAGGTTCACCTTTGGCCAGCACAAGTTCCTCCAGGACGAGAGTGAGGGCGGGCTTTAACGGCAGGCGCATGCGACAGGACGCCAACTACTGTACAACTTTTCATACGACCTCCAGAAGTTCATCGAGGAGCGCTTGTCACCAGTGGCGGTTGAGGGAAAACTCAACGAAGACCGTGCAACTGTGAAGGAAGTGGCTCATGCGAGGGCCGTGTTGCACTCTTCGAACTGGCTTGGCCGGGAGGGCAGACCCGACTTGATGGGAGAGGTGAGTATCCTCTCCAGCCGGATCCCAGATCTCAGGGTGAAGGACCTGCGTGAGATGAATCGCGTGGTTGAGAGAGCGAAGGCCACTGCGGAGCTGGTGGTGACGATTAAGTGCATCCCGGAGGAAAGGATCGGCTTCGGAGTCGTCAGCGTCGCCAGCTACGCCAACGTGAGAGAGGGAGGGTGGCATTCGATGTTGAGAGTCACCAGGGTGCAATGTGTTGTACTGGAAGTCTGGACGCATTCACAGGGTAGTTAACTCTACGTTAGCTGCTGAAAGTATGAGCTTGTTTAGAGCCCGTGGTGATCTCACATGGTGCGTCACTCTCTTTAACGAACTGATGCTTCCGAATTTTGATCTGAAGGGGTGGGGAACTAGCCTCCGGCATCGAAGGCTGTGTGTCATCCCCGGGAAGAGTGAGGAAGATCGCAACTTCGCCGTCGTTGATGCCAAATCACTGTATGATCATTTGTCTAAGGAGACTTGTAGACACACGGCGGATCGCAGAACTGCGATTGAGATGCAGACCATTAGTTAGGCAGACCTGGTTCGAAGCCGGAGCGTCGATTCGCTGGGTTGATCACAACCGAATGATCGTTGACCCCCTTACGAAGGTAGGAGAGAATCTTGATCCCCTGCTTAAGCTTTTGCAGACGGGGAGCTGGAGCATTGTGGCATCTCTCTGGCCCAGGAAATCGAACTTCGAAGACAGCAGAAGGCTCTACACATTCTCACTCGCCAGTAGCACTCTGGGACAAAAGGAAACTTTGGGAGCTGTGAAAATTCTCAGCTGTGCCAAGCTGTGGCTCTTAGCACTTGCCTGGTCCCAGAGCGAAAGGCAGGCCCCGAAGTGTTTAGGCCCGAGACCAAAGGGGTGATCGGGAGGGGCTTGTGAGCGTTGCCAGGGTCAGTCGACAAATCTCGCGGAAGGGCTCCTACACATGCTAGGTGGTTGTTTTTTTTGGTTGGACCATGTACGGGTGGAGGAATAATGAATGGAGTTCCTTATTGATGTGCCTCTCCATGCCTCGTGTTTTCTTTCTTTCCTTTTGTCGCCGTCTCTGTCGCCCTCCCTTCCTCCCGCACTCTTTCCCTTTCTCCCTCTCTTATCCTTTCTCGTTCCATCTCCTTCCTCCCCTTCCCTCCGCCTGCGTCCTTCGCCGGCTGCGTCGGCCGGATGGTTGCAACTGTGTATCTGCGCTTGGCTACCGGTATCTCGCGTAACAGTTTACAAGCCCCGTATAACCCCGTGTAACTGGCCTAGCTTACTAACCACCACGAAACCCGCACGGTTGTCAGTTCTGAAACCGAATCGTCGCAGCACTGCACGTGCAGTGTGGTCTTAGGCGGCGTGCCACCATGCGCCGACTCCCGCTAGCTGTGCAGGAAAGAGAACCCTACGAAAACCATCCGCGAACATCATTCCACCCTATGGCTTTGCACGAAAATCACGAAAGCCGTGAGAAAACCCCACATCATGCCATCTATTATGAGACATCAGTGTCCCACCGAGCCCCCTTCCTCAGCAAATCCTTCGCAATGCTTTCGGGAAAAAGCAGGGCCGGATTGGGAGCAAATGGGAGCCAAATCCTTTGTATTGGAAGTTGGAAGGCATGGTTTGGCTTGAGAAATTTACATGTTCTTCAGGCCAACATGCAGCGGCCGTTTTTGAAAGGTTCCTGTTTGGGCGGGGGCGTTGTGAAGGGCAGCTGCTTTGATGCATCCCTGCATCTTTCGTCTGCAGGGTAACAATGCCACCCGTCCGTGGGCATCCCGGACATGGCCCGGGACACAGAGTTTCAGACTTGGGGTTGGTGTGTTGGGTGGCTGCACCCCTCTGGCCCAGCTTCAGGCACAGCAGCATGCAACCCACAGCGAGGGCCACGGGCCCCACCAGGACACCTCAGCTCCCTTGGCAGCGTGATACTGCGGCATACTGAGGCTGAAGTTTTATATCGTGTCAGCAGGACTTCCAGGGCGCACAGTACCCCAGCACGTGGTTGTCCTTCAAGCGAGCTCCTTCACGATTGGCCGTCTTCGTTCATGGAAAGTTTATGTTGGAATATCGCCGATATTCTGCAAGAAGCCTCGCTAAACTGTTCTCTGGACAGCTTGCACAAAGATGCCTTGGCGCAGCTCATTGCAGGCATGAAGGCAGAACAGCTCCCTTCAGATCCTTTTCAGTGCAGCACCCCTTTTCCGTGGCAGATTGCTGCCGTGTACTTCGACATTGCTAGCCAGCTTGAGTTGGTGGATCCCCATGTTCCGCGCGAGCCGGAACGGGCGCGAGCTGCAGCTAGCATATTGCATTCAGTTTACCAGGCCCTTATCACGGCGGCATCATTTCTGACACGCAGCATGGTTTCGCGGAGCGTACATCTGCAAAGCTCACTGGATGGATTCTACAGCTCAGTTGCTACGCATTTGGTTCATTTGGCTCGAGGAGCGAGTGGTCAGAGGAGCCGAACCCTTGGGCTTCACACGCAAGCAACACCATCGGAATGGGCCCATCGTTCGGCAGCAGCTATCAATGCGGTTTGTCGGCCTGGTAGAACGAATGCACCATTGCTTGACAGTCACCGACAGGGTTCAAAAAGCAGCCTCCAGTATTCAAATTCAGCTAGTGGTGGCAGCGCTGGCATTGGGACTGGCCGAACGTTCTTCAGTGCGAATGTCACTTTACATGAGTTCCAGACGACCGACATCGCTTCCCGCCCGTTTTCGGACTCAAGTGACCGACGAGAGCCATTCATTGCGGGGCGAGCGAATCTTTGTGCACACCTGCGAGGCATTCTGGTACAGGCTACTTTGGATGGGCGCTTGCAGGAAGAGCTGGGCCGCGTTGACACAGACTTCCGACCCGTTGACGAAGAGTCGAGTAGACCTAACGGCATTTCGAAGCCGATGTTGCTACCAGTCGGCAGCTTCTCCAGCACAGGCACAGTCTCACAACTCTACGAGCATGCAGACCTACCGAACGGAGGCTCAGCGATGTCATTGAGTTCAGATTCGGACATGCGAAACGAAGAGCAACAGGTGTCATCGAGTCCTTCAAGCGCAGTGGCCGTGCGGCGGTTTGCTTCTAGGCGCCAGGCGGGAAGCAGTGCATCGACAGAAAAGCAAGTCTCGGATCATTTTCTTGAACTCGGTGACTTATGCGATGTTGCAAAGTGTGCCCACATTTCCGAACTTTGTGATGCAGAAGACAGCTCGACGCCTGCCTGTTCCCAGCGACATGCATCGCCGCCTGCAGCCCAGCCCGCCTTGCAAAAGCTGCGGCCATGGGAAGACAATTCCTCTCACAGGGCTGATGCTCTTATACGGCACTTGGACGAGGTCAGTCGAGGACAGGGTACGGCTGGTGTCGAAAGATGCCTGTATGCCGACGGCGTGTTGCCTCTGTCGAAGGAGTCGTCACCGAATGAAAGAACTGTGCGAATGCTCACGGAAGAAACAACGAAGGAAGAGCCTTGTGCAGCTGGGCAGACCAGTTCAAGCCGAGCTTACAAAGCTATGACTTCTTCGTTGCTATCGCTTGCACGCCCTGCTGAGCGACAAGATGCCCAGCAGCGGAAGCAAGCACCTCAGACGACAAAGAGCATTCAGCAAAACGCTCGCGAACGGCAAGCAGGACCTGACAAAGCAGGGAAAAGCTCTGCTTTGCCACCAGAAGTCTCCGTCAAGCTGCCTCAAGTGGTTCAGTGCAGAGGCTCCCAGAAGTCATCAAGCCTGGCTGCAGGAATCTACTCGCAGTCCTTCAAGAAAGTGTCTTCGAATGCTGCAGACAAGCACAGGCTGTACAGGTCAAGCCAGAGCCTGCCCGTGATCAAGGTCAAGCAGCGTAGTCCCCCTGACTTGCCTGAACGCAAGTGGCGCCCAATGTGTTAGCCGACTCAACCTGTTGGGGAAACATGAACCTTCAAAGGTTGATCGTTTCCATGTTTCACCGAGCTAGTATTGTGGCAAGAGCCAGCCATTGTGAAGCAATGGTGTCACAAAGTGCTGTCCATATGTTAGACAGTTGAATCTTGCAGGTCCAGTCTAAGTAGATACTTCTTCCCAGATCGCAAGCCAAAAGACCGACACGATTGTGCAGGCGATTTTCTGAGCAGGCTTGGCAGATTGTAGCCGGAGCCAAAGCCATGGCTGAGCCCCGGGCGTTGCCAGCACTTGCACTGGCGGAAGCAATCGGCTCCAAGCGCGATCCGCTCACACTGCCCAAGGACTGCCGGCCTGCATCGCATTGGCTTATGCACACGGGCGAGACATATTTAGATGAATATGTTTCAATTATTATTCAATTCGCTGCATGTTTGTTTGATTTTGACGGCGACGTATCGGACGTGAACTATATGAAATTTTCAAAACGCCACCCAGGCCGCCCTCTGCCCTTGTGCAGAGGCTGCGTCGTAATAGGTTTTTTGCTGTCGGTCAGGAGCAGCTAGACCATCCACAACCTCTGCGGATACTGTCACCTTATTGTAGGAGTGGTTCTCCCTTAGACGTTCTGTCGCATCAGAGATGTCATGTCAGTTCGAGTACTCGGTAACTTATCAGTGTCATTTCCGCATCCTCATGTTGGACGGGGCGATGTTTCTGTAGGCAGTGCAGGCGCTGGCCGGATTGAAGTAATTTCTTCCCCAATTTATCAGACACCCCCCCGAATCATCAAAAACACTTTGGGGCCAGCCCTCCCGAAATCATCCCTGCCCTTGAAGACCTAATTTGCATTAGCTAGGGGGGGCCGGAGCAAGAGTAGGAGCAACAGCAAGAGCAATTGCAAGAACAAGGGCAGGAGTAAGAGCTGGAGGAAGAGCAGGAGCGAAAGCCAGCGCAGGAGCACGAGCCAGAGCAGGAGCAAGAGCAAGATCCCTCAAATGTATTCAAAAGTGGCAGAGAGATAAAAGCATCCGCCTCTGACAACAAAAACACTCCCTCAAAAGTGACAGCAAGGATACAAACTCGCGCCTCTAGTAATAAAGACACTTGTCGAGTGTTTATTGGGGGCCCAGTTGATTATTAGGCGGAGGGATACTCGTAGTTGCAGAGGCCCATGTTCAAAAGCTGTCCAAAGCACAGTTCGGAGTTGGTGCCAGTGTGAGTGTGAGCACGTCATGGCGTGCCACAATCTTGCCACTCCTGATGATCCAACGGAGATCACTGCAGAGAAGCTTGGGGCTCCTGCCTTTTGGTAAACCATTTGGGTCCCCGACTCTTTCGCCCTGGTGCAACAAGCAGATGATGTGAAAACGAGTTCATGCGTAGCTCCGAGCTTGCTACCAAGTGCCAATGCACGCAGGCTACATAAATCATGAAAGGGGACGCGGGAAACCCGAAAAGTCTTGCTGGGCATTGGGCGTCAGAGGACCTACAAAAAGCACGAGACATGATGCAAAATTATGAACCCCACTCGCACTGCAGCGTGCATGATGTTGCATTCGACTTGTTGCGCGCGACTTATGACCTGAGGTAGCCTGGCAGTGTCGTTCATGTGCAGGAGTGCTACACATCCTTTGTCATCCCGAAGGGAAAGCCCTCGTACGGGCTGGTTTGGATGCACGGCCTCGGAGATGATGAGTCGGGCTGGGCAGATGCACTGGAGGATAGTTTCGACCTGAGGGGTTTGAAATCAGGCGGGTCCTGCCGCTTTATTCTGCCACGCGCCCCCAGACAACGAGTTACGTGCAACGGCGGTGAAACGATGACGAGCTGGTTTGACTTTCTGAAGTTGCCGCTTTCTGCTTCCGATGCTGACAAATCTGAAAATGTGGGCTGCTCACTGGAGGAAGCTGTCGCGTCGTGCGGCCGCGTCCACGCAGCCATAGACACACTTGTCGGTGAAGGCATCCCCACAGAGCGAATCGTGGTGGGTGGCTTCTCACAGGGTGGGGCCATGGCATCTTGGACCCAAAGCCTCGTCAACTGCTGTCTCTGAAGTGCATTTACGTTTTTCACGATGATGTGTCAAGCAAGGCATTGCTCTCAACGCTCACTTATCCACAACGCTTGGGCGGCGCCATCGCGCCTCGTCATTCTGATACCGCCTTGTGTTGCATAGTCGAGTTGCGGCCCCGCCGTGGCAAAAAACACTTTGCAACTTATTCCATGCAACAGCATGCGGCCACTTTTCAGCTTGGGCCTTTATGCTCGGACGGACGCAATGGGCTCCGAGAGAGTGCGCATTTTGTTCCTGCAACTAGGGCTTGTTGGCGTGGGTCTGCCCACCTCTTTGAAGAGTTCCGTTGTTGATGAATTCGGATCAAGCCGAACAAAGACTACTCAGGTCTTCAGCGGCTTGTGCTTCTTCGGGGATCATGTGGCGAAATTGGTTGATACTCCACAGTGCCGCGAATTGAAGGTCTTCTGGGGGCACGGAAACAGGGACAAGGTCCTCCACCCAAGCCTCCAAGATATGGGCGTGGAAGCGCTGAGACGTGCAGGAGTATCGGTGGTAGCTAAGAGCCTCAGCCAGCAAGGAGTAGACCCCGTGCACCCCGCCTTGAACTACCTTTAACTCGAACTTGCTTGCTTGCCTTCCTGTTGCCAGGAAGTACGAGGTCGAACATGGCAATACGCAGCAAGAGATGGATGACGCAGCGGCATTCTTTGCATCTGTTGTAGGTGCATAAGCCCTGGGCTTTGCATAGGTTCATGGTACAGGTCGACCAGGGTTTGAAAACTGATTGAATCGATCAATGATGAATGATGAATGTATGTGAGGTAGAAAAGCTATCAATGAGGTGGTTGCTGCATGTCTCTGTGCTCCATGCACTTGCTCAGAAACAGGTCTGTAGCGCTTTGTTGCGAATTTCTTACCTGTTCTTGCTCTTTGGGTTCAAGCATGTCGCACTTTAGCACTGGCTTAAGGGAGCCTTCAGCAGAGGAGCTGAGCAGCTCTCGCTGCTTTGCCAAAAAAGGAGTTTGTTCTCTCAGAGCTGTGTGTGTGTGTGCTGGTTTTCGTTGCCGGGTGACGCGTCATCAGTCATTGGACCAAGGATGCAGCCACTGGTCTACTTGGCTGTTCGAGGATGGCTCGGATGGATTCAGTTCGTGGAACGATCTAAAAGGGCGTTTTTGAACAGCTCTTTGGTTCTAGTTGCCGCTGGAGCTGTTCACTGCTGGGCAGTGGTTTACTCTCTCTTCGTCGCAGTGCACACTCGAGCCATGCGTCCAGCACTCAGCATCCGGTCTTGATATTCTTGACATGGGAAACTGCAACTTGGCATCATGCAGCACAAGCATATCAAGGTCATTCCGGGTATCACCAGGGCAGCGCAGAACAGCTTCCCCAGTCTGTCGCTTTGACAGAAACTTTGGCTGTCAGCTCTCTGTGGGTTTGGCTTATTGCGGGCTTCACGACCGCCGCCGTTCGCATGCTGGATGAAGATGCCGATGGACTTCCATTAGGACTGCTCCAGTCTCCGGCTTGCCTTTGCAAGGCAATCAATGCTTTTTGCATGACTGTCTGCAGGAATGGAAGACCTGAAATGGGGGCCGCTCTTTGCCTGAAAAGGGCACATCGTCACGAGATGTCACGAGATTTTCCATGAGCTGACGGCTTCCAAGGATTCTGCGTTTCATCCGCTCGCCCTTCCTACATAGTGCACTGGGGCATGCTCATTCAGTCAGCTGCGTGGGCCTGTTTGTCAGCATCATCTTTTTGTGCGCAACAATGGCTGCTATGAAAGGCGGCCGCTTTGTGGCAGAGGCGACTACAACATGCTGCAAGTACTTAAGTACTTGCTTTGTAGTGCTTCGGCTCAACACAGCTCGTGCCTCGCTAAGGTATCACAGTCTGCGAGTCCTGCCTGGCTATTGTGGCGATCGGATTTGCGGTGCCACATATGGTGCTAGCAGGCAGGCGACTGAGTGAGTCAGTTGTCTGGCACTCAGTTTCAGCCCCGCCTCGTCACAGGCCGTTTGTTCGACACATTCTGAGAGCCACTCGCTCGCCAAGGATCGTGCTTTATCCGAAATACTACCAGCAGACAGTTTTGAAGCGGCTGCAGCAGAGGCTGCCGCTGCCGGACCTCAACTGTGTGTGATCCTGTCCCTAGCCGATGCCGCTCGCTTGACAAACACGATACGCCACATAGGAAAAGTCATGCGTAAGTAGAGTTGTGTTTTCCAGGTGTCTCGGTATTGCGGGCAGCAGGGTATATCCAAGTAATTGTTTTTGCGTGTTCGACAAAGAAGATTGGAACTGAACAGACCCATATGTCGCTTGATTTTGGCAGAAGGGAATGGCAGGCTTGGCTTCTACGTTTATGCGGTGGGTGTGTCCGTTCCTTGTGCTCTCGGCTTTCGTGCTCCCCCTTTCGCCTGCTCCTCGTTTCCCCTATGCACACCTGGCTTTTCCTTATGCTAGCCTGGCTTTTCTACCTGGCTCCTGAATGTCATTCTCAGAGGCATATCTGCACTGTCTTGCCTTTTGCTGGCAGGCATGGATTCAGAGCCCATTTATCCGACAAAGTTGGCGGCACCAGCACGAAATCAACCCTCCCCACCCCCCTCCCCAAGTGAAGTCCTGTCCTCAGAAGCTCCTAGAATCTAATGATCCAAGCGTCCGAACCGCAAACAAAACCTGCAGAAAAGCGCACGACAAGATACGTAGATGCATGGCCTTAAATCCTAGACCATAAACCCCCCAGAAGTTTCGCCTCGACCTCGAACCACATGCCTCGCCTGGATCGTCCGAGTGTGAGCGCCGAAACCGCTGCAACCACTGCCATACCATATGGGGGTTGAAGCTGCAAACCAACAGAAAGCAAACTTAAATTTCCAGCAGCCTCTGGGAAAGAGCAATGGACATGAGTAGTCAGGCCGAGTTGAATAGCTGAAACCAAAACTAGCCAAGGCAGTAAAAGGAAAAGCCAGGTGCGCATAAGGGCAGAAACCGTCAGCATAAAAGCAAAGCCGGTCGCGTAAAGGAAGAGACCCACAGCTCAGCTTTAAACAAAGCATGCCTAAAACTGGCGCCGTAATGCTACAAGTTCATGGCATTCGTCTCCCCAAGGCACCAGGACATGCATATTGGTGGCAGAATATTGTGTACACCATGGCATCTATGGCTTTTGTAGCTGCTGTGGTTGCTTGCGGTCGCTCTCCCTCGAAATCTGCGAACGTTCCTTTGCCACCTGAGAAAGCCGAGACGTTGGCCGCATGGTCGCACACGCTGTCGTTTCTTTTAGTACTCGTATCTTTCAGTTTTGTGTTGGATGTGCAAAGTGCTCACAGCCTGTGGTGCAGGAGCTGGGAACTGAGGTGTGCCTGCTGCTTGATGCGATGACCGCACTTTGCATTGTCTTATCTTATCCTCACCTCAACACGTGGCTCTTGCGAATTGCAGTGGTGGCTGTCATCGCTTGTGCTGTGGCTGTTGCACGGCTGCAATGTGAGCCTAGCCACCATCGCATACCATCCCTTTCCGAATGCTTTCATGCTGGGTCAGTCAGCCTTGACCCAGGCACAGCACAGCCCCGTGCGGGAAATTTATTTGGATTGGCTCGAGCCCATCTTCGTCATACGAAGTGACTCGCACAAGCGGTTGCCTCATGGGCAACGACAGCTTCTTCGACAGATTGCTTGGGTCGCCCCTCGCATGCCTAAAGGTCCTCGAGGCTCCCCGCGGCTGTACCAATCGAATGAACTCGGGCCACTAAATGTCAAGATATTCAGGAGCGCAAGAGATAGAGACTGTGCTGACCTTGGCGCTCGAATGTTTCTGTCGGACGCATGGTGTTACGCGTGAACAAACTGAGGAAACGCGTGGATACCCAATGCCATACACACACTCATACATCTCCAACTTGTAAAAATCAGCGATTGGTCAAGCTTCGCCGATCCTGCTGCATTGACCCGCTGTAATGCCGAAATGCGACGTTGACACCTACCCCTTAGGCAGGCCAGCTCTGGGGGTCCACACATGCCGGCTTTGATCGTTAAAAACTACACAGGCATGGCAGTGTTAGCGCATTTTCGTTGAAAGCCCTGGAGAAAGATCCACCGTGCTAATGCTTTCACACTACAAGCTTGCGCACACCTTAAATGGAAGGACCAGTTGTTTGTGGGATAGTGTTGTTGCCGGTGTATACGATCTATTTTAAGAGCAGCGTGCGCCTTTCATGTTAAGTTCGGCTTGAATTAACCTCATGAAAAGCTATAGAGTGAACCATAAAGTGCATCCACTGGCTTCACTTCGGTGGAGGTAGTCGTACTAAGTGTGATGGCTTTCCAACGCAAGTTCAAGGTAACTTGAGGCCATCAAGGCATCAAACCATGTTTTGTTCCACCTGAAGTGCCAATTCCGTTCTTGTTCCAGGAAATGTCCTGGGGACAAAACATCGCGCCGAGAAACATAGCTGCCGACCACGAAGTTTATGTTTGCTTCCGGGGCCCCGTCCATGTCATGTTACGAACAAAGTCCGTCCGACGAGCTGCTGACCCAATGATCCCGAAGGGGAACAGTCAACTAGTAGACGCACTCATCGCCGATCTTGAGTGCAACACCGTTCCCACTGTCAATGTCGTAGTCGGCAGGCCTTGCCTGTCAACCGTTTTCAAGCTCAGCCGCGGGCACGATTGTAGCAGTGCGATGTGTCGCTTCATTGCCGCTTCTGACTCTTGACTCGAGGCTAGCATTCTTTGCGCCACCGTGGCACTCTGGGACATCGCTCTCCATCCGTTGGCAGCCGCACAGGGCAAAGGGGCTGAGACTGCTGGTCAAGCCATCAAGACTGAGTGACCAGCACGTAGGTTTGACATCCTTTTTCCGATCACCGGTCGAAGGGACGAATAAAGGTGGGCATGTTCGTGTGACAGCATAGCAAGCATGCTGGCCAAAATGCACTGCTTCATGCTAGATCTGAAGGAACGGTTCCCGTGCAGCCTCATAAGATCTTAGCTGTGAGCCTGCGTCGAGTGTTCACCGTGTCAAAGGCTAGGTTTTGCCAGGCCAAGTTTGGATATTCACTTGTGAATGGCTTGAGCTAGCGACCGTGGATGCTTCTCGAGTCACGCGTGGGGCTGCAGGGATCTGACGAAGTTGTGAGTTTGTAACCTGTGGTTTGGAAGGGCTTCGACAACGATCATACCTTAGGCAATCATGACGTGGAACCGTTGGCTTGAAGCCAGCAGGGCAATCAGCAAGTGTGATGGAGGTTTCCAGGTGGCATGGCAGACCGACATCTGTTCGCGAGTAAGCCGGCTGAGATTGGAGCAAGAAAGATTTCTACTTCATGCGCTACTAGTCGAACGACGAGAGGTTTGCACGCAGATCTCTGGAAGTGTTACAGTGCTTAGAGAGCGTAAATCTGCCGAGTCAGGAGTACAAAAGCGGAATCTTAGATTCGGATGGGACGACATGTGAATATCGAGACATTGGCTCGTAATTAGTTTACATTGCCATGTCAACTCGCGGGCAAGGGCGAGGTCGTGGTTCCTGCGTTTCGCGAGGCAGAGGCACACAAGGGGCATCCGTCCAGACGCTTCGTCATTGATGGGCCCACTGCACAAGCGGAGAATTGGCGGATCATTGCATTGTGGGCTGATTCTTGTTTCGTGCTGAGGAATCTGGCCGGAACGAACATCCACAGTCTTTCGGCCGCTCCCGGAAGACCTGGCAGAGGCCGTGGCCAACCTGGCGCCTCCGCATCTTCATCAACTGCCGCTTCTGGCTATCAGAGTACAGGAGAAATCTTGGGCACAGGACTCTTCCAGGGGGCTGACGGATGGAGCCCCAATTTGCCACGTCCCTCTCTTCGTGTCACATACTCACATTACGCAAGTACCGCCAGGATCTGGGCCAACCGTTGAGATGCTTCCGAGTGGGCCACATGCCGGAGAGTCATTCCAGATGGTGTCGCAAAGCGATCCAGAGCGCCTTTGGCAGCACACCCATAGGGCTTGACATAATAAGCACGGCCCGGGTGAGCACCAGTAACTCTCTAGACGTGCAGCTTCAAGTCCTGGATGTACTCTTGTCCCGTTCACCTTGCATTGTTGACGAATCCAAGATATTGTCAATGGGTGCTGGCTCAAGCCGGCTTGGATCAACTGGAGGAAGGGCTGCAACAGTTTGCGAACTTCTTGAAGTGCCAGGCACGATGGTAGGTGGCACATGCCTGCATGGCTGGAAGTCCGGAATCACACTTAGAATCGGTTGTAAGAAGGAAACAAAGCTGCAATGAGGAATGTGATATGACCGGCTGTTATCAATACTAAATACCACAGCATCCGCGCAACCCCGGCCCAAAACTATGAGAACCTAGATCAGGGATCCGGTTCGTGAGTTGCAGGCAGCACATAGCCATAGCCTAGATGTGCGGAACCGCACGACTGCACGGATGCCCTCACAGCATTTCTGTTCGGTATGTCTTCGGCCCATACCCATCAGTTTCGTACCCACGGCGAGTATTCTCTAAAGCTACAGGTCTTTATTTTGCGACTGTCCCAGACTGTTGCTATCTGCTGTTGCTGGGCAGACCCTCTTTTCTCTTTACCAGCGTTCATTCCTTCCAGCTTTCCAAGCCGGCGCCTGCATTCTGTAAGAGATGTAATGCGGCAGCGATGTGAAAGCAGGCACGAACTCAGTTTACAAATTATCACTGCGAGTATCCCCACCCTGCCCCATGGTTGACAACCCGTATTTCGGTGCATGACTTTGTTTCAACTTTGTCTGTGTAAGCATGATGGCCTGATTCCTTCGGTTTCATCAGCCTCTTGTGTTTTGCACCGCTACACCCGAAACCCTGAAGTTTTGAACCCAGTAGATCCTGTAAAGTTTTATTTGGCGACGCAAACTTGTGCTTGTAACAAATTTGGGCGTGCACAGTTTTGATTCTTGTCTCACAATTAGGTCTATAGATTATGTCGGTGACCTCGAAACATCCGGCTCAGCATTAGGGTGTGCACAATGCCCGCATGATGGGTTTCGAAGAGACTGCTTTGAAGCAAGCTTGTTCGGCTCGAAAAGGCGGGGGGTTGGTCTCCCTTTCTTTCTGTGTTTCTCCTGTTGGATACCTGTCTAATCATTTGATGCCTATTTAATTCTCTTTTGATGCCCATCTTTTACAGATGCCGACGAGAATCCGTTCTTTTGGCTCCTGCATGGCATCCAAGGCTAGCGGCTAGCGGGACGTACGGACAGGACGGAGGACAAGAACAAGGACTGATAGAGCGGAAAGTGGCAGGCGAAACGAATCAAGGCTCCTTTGTGTCCGCCAACGGGACGAGTCCAAAAGGGTTTCAGATTTCACGTCTGACATGATGCTGGCTCCTGCCGACTATGGAAATGCAGCGTGTCGCTCTTGCACACAATGCCCGGTTTCAGTCACGCTCCCTCCGGAGCAGGGCTGGTGCGCGACTTCGCTGCTTTGCGCCAGACGGCTCTCTTCAGTCCAGCCTGTCGCCTAAGAGCTCCTGAGCTTCTGGATTATCCGTGAGAGCCCAGCTTCCACTCGTGAGCTGACGACACAGCGTGCGATTGTCGGCCCACTTTGTGATTCCATCGCAAGGCATCGAACAGGCCCGGTACCCAAGCGAGCTCCTTGAGTCCGAGCTTTTCAATGGTGTCCTTGTTTTCCAAGCAAGTACCGCAGTCTCGGTCAGTGTCTCGGTCGGGCTTTCGGGAAGGCCGAAACCAGCTTTGGTGAGCTCCAGCATGGCGGGCCGAACGTTGCCCCCAAGCCGCTCCGTCAAGTACTCAAGCACCTCGTCGGGGTAGCCGTGCGGCACTTTGACAAATACCTTGTCGACTCTGTGCCCCAGACTGCTTGCTGTCGGCGATGCTATATAAATAACGCCCGGCATCGGGGTCTCGATGCCCACCCAGTATCCAACGGGCTTTGAGCTCGGCATCATCCAAGTCGGGACCGCCTTTATTCGTCAAAACGAACCTGGAGCTCAGCACCCTGCCAAGATCCACCACCTGGTCGTGAGCTATGCCCTTGATAGCTTCACGGTCAAGGTACACCCCGACCGCTTTCTTCAAGGGCTCCACAAAAGCCTTTCGCCATCGCGTGTCCAAACTGGACCATCGGTACTCCATGCGAGCCTTCCCGGTCACCACTTCACAGCGAAGCCCTTTTGCGCAGCCTTTTGGCTCACCTCTACAAGTAACTCATGCTCGGCATGAGGTGAGCTCTCACATCCTCCGGCTGCGATATGCTGCGATCAGCCTTGGAAGCATGGCCGCCAGCGCCCCGGCTGCGGCCTTCAGCTCCGCGGCTTCACCTTGAAAGCCTTTCGACAGCCCTTGAACTTGGCACAGGTGTCCTCCAGGCTGCGCAAAGCCGCCTCCTCCAAAGGTGCATGAGTGAGTGAGTGAGTGAGTGAGTGAGTGAGTGAGTGAGTGAGTGCGCGGCAAGCTGCACGAGGTGGTACGCGCAGAAGCCATGCCTAAGGCGCCGATCACTCCCGGTTTCTCAAAAAGCTTCGCCGGCGTCATTCCTTCCTCCGCTTGGAGTTCACTCTGGCGAACGCCCCAACCCCAGAAACAACGCTCCGAGGTCGGCAAACGGCCCATTTAAGCAAGAGGGTATGCAAAAAGCCTCAATTAGGCAGGCCCGCCACCGGAAAGCCGGCATAAGGGCAAGACAGCGTGCCATCCTCGCGGAAACCCGTGCGAAAAGACGCTTCCGTGGGCGCGCCCTCCTCGTGGGGCGGCAGCTGCGTCAGCTTTGGCCTTGCGGGTCAGGCCGTCCTCTAGGAGCTCGCGCTGGATCCGGTAGTACTCCTCGTCCCGGGGGCGCTCGCGGTGCCACTGCTCTCGCTCCTCCTCGGGCCAATCGCTCTCAGTCGCCTGCTCCCAGAGGCTGTCGTACATTAATTTTGAGGCAAGCCAAGCAAGCAACATCACATGTGTCCAAAGCTGCATGATCCACCAAGTGGCCCACATACCACAAGTGGGCATGCTCCACCAGGTGGCCCACATACAAAGCTTCGCCGGTCGCCAGCGAAGTGTCCAGGCCAAGCAAGCAATTGATTGGGCTCGGTACAGAGACGCTCTCGTGACTCGTGATGTAGCTCTCGATCGACTCGTTGGGGGCCCGGTTCAGGTGCATGAGCCGTCGGCGATGCTCATCCATCCTTGTGCTTGTCGACCTGCTTGATCGGCGGCGCAGCGGCGCCTTCTCGAGCTCCTCCTACCCTTGTCTGAGGTGGTGCCCCAGCCGCGTTTCCCGGCACATCCGGTCTTCCAACTCCAATTCTCGTAACTGCACCGGTCAGTGTCTTCTCCTCCTATGCAGTCGGTGCTGTACTTGTCCCCGTCAACCCACAAAGCCTGATGGAAGAATCCTCGGACCAACCGTCCCACGCCGGCTGTCTCATCGACGTTCCCGCGCGCCTGCTCCATGGATCATCTTCGCCGCGCTCCTTCGAATCACTCGAGATGCCCCCTGTGCTAACATTCTCGGGTGAGGCCCACTCGCATCCCAGTCTGTGTCTCCCGGCCAGGCTCGATTCTCCGTTCGAATCTTCTCCCAGCGCAGCACCAAAGGATTCACAGTAGGACCGCATTTCTCTGTCTTGTAGGCCAGGCACCCCGGTTCAAGCCCCGTCGCCCCGGAACTGGTCACAGTCACCGAAGAACCATTCAAATGGCTCGCGCCCTGGAGCACCTCAAAGAACAAAAGCCCCAATGGCCCCAATGCCCTGCCAGCGGAAACTGGCAGCGGCAACGAATCAAGACTCTGCACAGAGGCTCCTGCTTGTCCGCCTACAGGGCTCCAGATCTCACGTCCG